TGAATCAAAACTCAAATTTACACTTTTAAATTTTATTAAATATTTGTATTTAATATATTTAATATTTCTATGTCGAGGTCTTTTCGTTTCTATTTATAATTCACTTTTAAAATATAATCCACAAATTTAAAAATATTTCCATATATTTTTTTATTATTTTTCAGTTCGCTCTAAAGTTTCTCCTTAAACAAATTTTATTCATTTAAAGTTTTAAATGGCTTTTTGGTGTTTAAATTTATACTCACATGAAAGTTAGCAAACAAAAATTTGAAATTAGTTTATTTCATTAAGTTTTACGCTTCTATTACTTGAAACTTTTTTTAAACTCTATATAATTTATTGTATTTCTTAAATATTTTGTTCGTTTCGCATCGATGGCTAAGTGAATACTGAATCGCAGATGGTTAAGAACACTTGAATTTATTGAAAGAGCAGCCAGCACTTGAACATATATAAATATTTGTGATATGTGACTGACGTTTTCCCTGTTTTTTAGTCTTGTGGGAAATTGGCTGCCAATTGCTGCGTTTCATTTTCAATTCTCTCGGTCGAGATAAAGAAAAGAACATTTTTGTCAAATGAGCATAACAATTTTTTATGATAAGCGCAACTTTTTTTTCGATCAACAGGCATTCCCGATACGAGCCTGAATCATCTTTTATATACTCTTAGAGCAGATTGTATAAGCTGTGACGTCATTAAGTCGATGACTCAGGGCTTCGTAAATAAAGTAGGGTAAAGTGAAACAATATTTGAAGAGTTTATTATTATTTCGCATATCATTGTTTTCAAAGCAAATTTCTAGAGCTTGAGTCGCATTGCTTTAAACCATTTTTTTCAGGTCTCTAAAAATAGATTACCTAAGTGATTAGTAACCGAGCTTCCCTTAACGGAGTCTTTAAATACTTTTTATGTTTATTCGATTTATCTATTGGCAATAGGTTAATTAAATTTTCGACACCAGAGACAGGGAATTATATTTATGGCATTGGTAATATGAGACCGCAGCTCCGCTCAGCTGCGCGCTGGCAAAAGGACAACGGCGAAAGGACGACAACCAATTAGCGCAAATAAAGCATTCAATTTCAGGGCGTGAATCTCTTTCGGCGTAACCAGAACCCAGAACCCAGAGCCCAGAGCCCAGAGCCCTGAGCCCGGAGACAGCACAACAATGCGAAGCTCAAATATTGAGTGAAACGGCGCGAACTGGGGGAGATACCCCAAGATGAATTCGAGTACTTCTTATTTGCTTATACCTAATGAGAACCTTTTATTAACAATCAACAATGCGAGAAAAAAGAAGCCATAAAAGTGAGCATGCTGGGTGCATATGCTATAGCAACATCAAAAACCCTCGGGTTCCATCGTCAGCAGAGTTTTTGTCGAATCATCAGAAACAGAAATCGATATCTGACTTATCATTCTTTTGTTACTCTTTCTAAATAGTAGCCAGTGCATAAAGAGCTGATAAAACTTACAGTAAGAAGATAGGTTTACTTATATACAACGAATTTATCTATTAAACAATCGATAATAATCGATTTCATGGGTTGCTTTTAGATAGTTGATCTATCGTTCCATTGAAGGCCTGAGCTACATATATTCAAGCTCTTATACTCTTAGTCTGATACTTATACTTGTATTTGTATTTTTAAATACTTCTACTATGGTACTTTTATACATTATTTCTTTACACTTATATTTTTACACTCTTATACTCATTAGGTCTGGGAAAAGATAAACTTTCCTTTTTCCAGACATATAATTTCTACAAGCCAATATACCCGCTTTCACGCATTTATAGTACTTACTCGAGAAAGATAAACAATGTGGTAGAGATTGAGACTGAGGGAGAGAGAGGGAGATTGAGTTAAATTTACTGATAAAAAAAAAACAGAAATATGCAAACGGCAAATTCTGTAAACTGTGAGTGAAATATGCAGTGCTAAAACTTCATCATTGACTTCATCATTGGCATGTTTTTCTGATGGCATTTTAAATTTTAATTAAATGCAATAAAATATTAAATATCAAATTATTTACACGTTATGAAAACCAATCACAATTCATAGAAAAAATTGCGATTTCAAACGAAATCAATTTGGAAAATAAATTTCAATTTCCATTTCCAATATGCTCGGTCACAAAATCACCCACAAATATCTATATGTATATATGTATATACTTCAATTTTAGGATTTGTGGTTTTTGCATACACGTCTGTGTGTGTGTGTGTAAATAACGCATAGGCATTTTAATATCTATGAGTAAATGGCTGCATATAAAGCTCAAAGAAAATAAAAAAGCAAACATCAAGGCGATAAATGCAAGATAAATAATAAACAACATAAATAGAAGTTCAACAATTACAAAAGGCATAACAGAAATATACAAATTTCCATTGCAATAAAAATTCCAAATGGAATTGGGAGAAACACAGTTGAGCATAAGTGACTATATAATACTCGTCTGGTGTGTAACATACTATGAATCTGTTTTTAGAAAAGTCTGAGCAAAGGCTGAGCAAAGGCTGAGCCATTTAGTTACATAATATACCTATATCTATACCTATGTATAAGCCTGACTGACCCTGGGTTCGGTAGACACGTCTCTAGTCTTGCGTAAAGCCATTAACCATAGTATTTATGCTGCATAATTATTCTCGACTTGCCTCTAAAGACTCTGTGAGATGAGGTAATGTGAGTATACATACAATATATATGTATATTCAACTTTACTCCCACCCTTGACATTGCGAATGAGTATGCATAAAACATTCATGGTTTTCCATTTGAGTTCCCATTTTTACAGCTGACCCATTGCCATTGGAGTCGTCATCAATTTTACAATTTTATGCGCAGAAAAAAAAAGTATTTATTGTTCTTATGCATATAGTAAGTTGTGGTAGATATTTATCGCCGATATAAACGCGATTCGCCAACTATAATGTGCACGATAATCAATAGAGAATCGAATTAGTTGAGCAAACATTCATTTATGCCTTTGCCAGACACAATTCGATTCGATTAATGCAAGGACTTTTAATATTATGACCCAGAAATCAAATTATTAATAGAATATGGCATACATTTAGCACCCGGGCAATTGTTTACCGAGTGGCACTGGCACTGGCTGTGGAAGCACTCAATTGGATAGGCTAATGCCTGGCCAGCCATGGCGACCCAGTGAAGAAGATGAAAATCTTGATTTTATTTCATAATATAAAGAGAGAGAGAGAGAGAAAGAAAGAGAGAGAGAGAGAGAGAAGAGTAAGAGAGAGAAAGTGAATGAGAGAGGGAAAGAGAGAAAGAATGGTAGGGAAGAAGAGAGGGAGAGATAGATAGGTGCAGACAGTGGGCAGCTAGACCAAAGCAACAACTGAGACACCTCAGAGTGAATATTAACCAGTAGGGAGTGAACGACTATTAGTTGCCCAACACCTGAGACAAAGAGAGAGAGAGAGCGAGAGAGAGAGAGAGGAAGAGAGAGAGAGAGAGAGAGAGAGAGTTAGATACAAATCACAGCTGAGATATCTCCAGAGAAAGGCTGAGCTAGTGGGGGTGAACGACTATCAGATATCCATTACCTGAGAGAGGGAGAGAGAGAGACAATGACAGCTGGAGGAAACGACTTGCCGTACAAGTTCTCAGGTCTCTGATATGTAGAAGGAGGTATCTCTCTTCATATAGAATCTACATATGCATATGCCGAGCACATGCTTGTATGTAGATATACCCCTCCTCTTTAATGTATTCAGGGTATACAAAGCAGTCGCTTAGGGCCGAGGCAGTCAGGCGTGAGCTACGAGCCAGCCTGGCCAAGGTGCAGGGCGCGGGGGCTGCTTCTGTTGCATGACTACTCCAACGGGCTGTGAGCTGGCCAGCGTTGGCTATGCGGTGCTCGGCCCAGTATTTACAGTATTTGCCAGTCAAGCGGCCCTCAGGTGAGACGCTTGGCCAGCTCGCAGTTCAGTTTTTGTTTCCGTAATAATCTAAAATA